CCCTGAGCCTCAGTTCCCACTGGTTTTTCCAGCCAGAGTTATGGGGATTCTCTTCCTGGCACTGGAACCCTGAACGGGGCGCCTGGTGTGGGACGGGGACCCCTCAGTCCTCAGGGAGGACCTTCCCAGCTGAGGTGTCCTCCTGATTTTTATCCACCACACGTGGGTGTGGGACCAGCCCGTCCCCTCCGCCCTCCTACCAGTCTGGATGTAGCTGCTGCTTTAATTCCGTAGTTGTACGACTTCTATTCAGCTTGATTTCGGGTGGTTTTGAATGATGGTTGTTCTGTAGTTTAGTTGTAACTTTGATGTGGTTGTGGGAGGACGCGATACCGCGTTTACCCGCCATCTTGACCTGAAGTCTGTTGCATAGCTCTTGCTGCCTTTAGGATTCTCTCTTTGTCTTTAATTTTTGGCATTTTAATTACTATGTGTCTTGGTGTGGGCCTGTTTAGGTTCTTCTTACTTGGGGCTCTCTGTGCTTCTTGAACTTGAATGCCTTCTTCCTTCACCAAGTTAGGAAAGCTTTCTGTCACTATTTCTTCAAATATATTCTCTAACCCTTGCTCATTATCTTCCTCTTCGGGGACTCCTATGATGCGAATGTTATTACGTTTACAATTGTCCCACAGTTCTCTTAAGTGATCTTCCTGTTTTTGAATTGTTTTTTCCTTTTGGTTGTCTGATTGGTTGATTTTTTCTACCCTATCTTCTAATTCACTGATCTGGTCCTCAGCTTCTTCTACTCTGCTGGTTATTCCTTCCAATGTGTTCTTAATTTCTGCTATGTCATTCTTCATTTCCACTTGGTTGTTTTTTGATGTTTCTCTATCTTTACTCATGGTGCTGATGTCCTTACTCATGCTGTTGAGCTTCCTCAAGCATGGCTCTGAACTCTACCTCTGATAATTTGCTTAACTGCATTTTGTTCATCTCATCTTCGATAGACTCCTCTTGTTCTTTCATTTGGCATTTGTTTCTTTGTTTCACCATTTTGGCTCTCAGTGGATTTTGGAGCCTGCCAAATTTTCCCTGTGGGTGTTGGTGTTCTGCCGTTTGTGGCTCCCTCTACTGGGTTTGGATGAGCCTGGGTGGGCCCACGTTAAACACCATTGTCAAGTCTTACTTTCCTGGGTAGATTTACAAGCCCAGGAAAGGTTCAGTTTTCCTCTAGCTTTTTTCTGGAGGCCATTAGTCTCAGTTACTCAGTGCCTTGGAATGTAGCCCTGGTGTTCTGCAAAAGAGGATTTCCAGAGGGTGGGATAGATGCTGGTAGTTAATGAGCCTCAAGTTTTATTTTTTTGCCTCACCTGGGAAAGGCTGAATCTTTGAGTGGGGGCTGCTGCTTTTGCCCTCAGCTAAAGGAAGAAGCACACTGGCCACCGTCCTTTGTGGCCGCAACTCAGCAAAAACTCTGAGTGCCCTCCAAATCTCGGGTGTCCCCACAGAGTTCCAGCTCCGTCTGCCCTCCCTCTGCCGTAGCCCCCAGGTGAGTGGCTGTGGCCAGTTTAGCGCTCTGTCCCAGCTCTCTGTGCTGTGGAGCGGTCTTGGTCTCTATTCCCCAAGGGCTCTGCTCACAGCTAAGACTGCTGCTGTCCGTGGGCTCCCAGCCCGCCACCCTCTCGCGCCTCCACAGATCCTACCAGTGTCCCTATTTATGTGGTCCTGTCCTGCTGCTTTTCTGTTGCTTTTTTCTGAAGATTTTTCTTTATTTTAGTTGTAATTCCCGTTTGGTCCTGGGAGATCGTCTGTGTAGCTGCCATTCACTCAGCTTCCATTTTCACACCCTCTAGGCCTATCTTGTGCGCAGCTGGGTCACACAGGCCTCTCTGGTGCCCCCATGGGTAACTGGATTGCACAGTCCCTTTGGGGACCTGGCTCTATGCCTATCTTATGGGCTGCTGGCCTCTCTGGTGCCCTGCACCCTGCAGTTCCCACAGGCGGGTAGCTGGATGGCACCAGTCCCTCTCGGGCTCCGGCTTCCCACTGCTCTTGTGAACTGCTGGACCGCACAGGCCTCTGTGGAGCCCCAGGTCCCACCACTGGCGTCTGGGGAGTGCTGCTGCCCCATGGGGTCAACTCCTGCTCAGCTTTTGCTGTAGTTTTTGGGGATGTGTCTCAGCTGCTGGTCTGCTTCTATTGCCTGGGGATGGATGTCTGCTCCCAGCCTCTGTGGCTGGGGGTATATCTCCACTCTGATTGGGCTGCTACTGTGGAGGATGGTGCTGGGCTCCGGGCTGTCTGTGGCTTCCGCGACCAGCACCTTGGGAGCTCCCCTACTGTGCACCGGTCTGTGTTGTCACAGACTGTCCACTGGTCCGATGGTGCCAGGTGCTCTGGTGGGCTCAGGTTGCTGGGCCCTGGCCTCTCCCACTGCCTCCTCCCAGGGAAGACCCGGGATCTTCCAAAATGGTGGGACCTCCCCAAGGTGCAGGGAGAAGCGCCCTGAAGGGCCGCTCACCGAGGTAGCCGGCTGCTCCGTCCACAGCACAGGGACCTTGTGCTCCGGGGTCTGCACTGCTCGGGTTTGGTCGTCCACCTTCACGTCCACTCACACTCTCTACACACCCGCTCACTCTCTCACACACTCACCCTCCCTCCGGTCCTGCCCGCTGCCATCTTCCTCCACCCTCTACTCTTTATTGTCCTCTTTCTAATATGTTCTTCAATGTGACCCACTTACATGGCTGTTCCAAAAAGCATACACACTTGTGCTCCTTGGAAACGCTACCAATCTGTGTGTGTTGCCTGTCTCTTGCCCAGCGCTTTACCTGGCGGAGTGCTGGCTTCTTCACTCCTGGGATGTTTGCAATGAAAACGAAACACAAACTGCGTAAAACTGGGGCTGACTGCAGCTAAATGGGTCAAATGACCTCGGTGTGGATGACCTTTGTGGTCTCAGTAGCCACATCTGTAAAAGGATGGAGTAGGAGCGAGAAGGTGTCTCACCTCCATCAAATTCCACAGTTTGTATTTTCTTGTAGCAAATGGAACCCACCATTTCATGTTCTAAATAGTTTCTCCTTGTAGGTTCTGTGTCTTGTTCCATTATTTCTGTTGCCGTGAATGCTCTCACTGTAGTTTAGGGTTTCCTTTCGATAGCCCTGGGAACTCTCGTTTTTTGAACCACAACAGTGTTTTCAGACTGACTGTTCATTTGCCCATAGAATCAAAGCGTATCTTCCCTCTAAAATAGCCACAGAGGTTGGAGTTTGTCTGTCATATTAGAAACATTTGGGACCCTATTTATTAGACTTACAATATCTAGCATACAATAAAAAAAAATAACTTAGCATATTTAAAAACTATTCTTTCATTGAGCTGTAAGGAGTTTCAAATCCGCAATAGCTATTTTAGTGTCTTATATTTATTCTAATTAATATATAAAGTCACCTTGTCTTAATAAGAACCCACCGAAGTATAAACGTTTTCAGAAATTATTCAGATGATGAACTAGGAACGAAAGAAAGGAAGCCAGAGAAGGTTTTAGACAGGGAGTGTGTGTTTTAAAAGACGTCTCTGACTGCAGACTGGAGAACAGACTGGAAGTGGGCGGGAGGGACAGAGAGGATGCTCCTCGCAGAAGACCCAGGGGACGTCTGGCGGCTTGGTCTGGGTGGTAGTCGTGGTGAGGGTGAGAGGTGGATGCGTCTGAGAGATACTGAGAGGTAGACCAGAAGGACTTTACCCAACACATCGATAGCTGACTGTTGAATGAGAGTCAGAGTCATCAGGAATGGCCCATAACACTTGAACATGAAATCTTAGTTCTTCAACGTGAAAAGCAAAGTCTGTGAGCGCAGGTACAGAAATCACCTTTATGACATGCTGTCCAGGTCCCCTTAGAACAGGTGACAAATATTTTAATGTACTTTTTCAAGCAAAGTTTTTCCCACACGGGCGTACGGCCTGTCCTCTCCCTCTCTCCTGTCTTCCTCGCATTGGCTTAGGGTTGGGGTACCCCTGCCTAGCCTTCCCTTGGGAGAAATACCCAAACTCCAAAATTATTTCTCCTCACTTCTAACACATGCCACAAAATGAAACGAAACGAAACGAAACGAAACGAAACGAAACGAAACAAAACACCAAGAACAAACTTCCACACCTTCAAGGTTCCACGCAGTTGCCAAGAGGACTCAACTGTCCCAGAGTATTTTAACTGCAGATGATGACGACACGATGTATTATTATGAGATTTAAGAGAAATCTTCTTAAGGCGGAGGGGTCTTCTCATGTTAAGGCCTAGGCATACGTTCACGTAGCGGTACTGCCGATGTGGCGTTTCGGGGTAGAGCCGGATGCGTGCGAAGAACTGTTGCCTGGCAGCGTGGCCTCTCCTGTCTGCCTTGGGGCTGTGTTATTGTGGAGGGAGCCCCAGAGCCGACCGAAGGGGAAGGAGGTCCCAGCACTGGTCTCAGCCAGTGTCCTGCTGTTGGTCTGTGTGACCTCAGCTCCGATGAGCTGTGGTCTCTTCTCCTATAGAGAGAGGGTAACAGTATCTACTTCTCATGGTTCGGGTAGGAGGGAATGAGAGACGGCCTGCGCAAGTCCCTGTAAAATAAGTTTTATATCATCGCCCCGTACATTTATGTGTTTTTGCTTATACGCAGGCGTATGTACCCTGCTGTGAGGAGTGCTTTAGACAGAAAGTTCCCACCACAGCCTTTTTTCTCAGGGATATTACAATCTAATCTCTACTCTGAAGAATGAATCAGGGCACGAGATGGCTGATGCAGAGTTCCCATGACAACGGCATAGAGAACCAGAGGAAATCCCCTGTGTTACAGGCTCCGAACTGGCCCCTGCCCCCTCACTCCCAACCTGACCTCCACTCCTAGCCCCCCGCATCTGAGTGCTTTCATTCTCTCGGGTTAGCTCTTGAGGGAGACCCTCTCTAGCCTTGGACATGCTAAGCTACATTAAAAAAAAATCTGTCCACAGGAAAACTTTTGATGCAATTCACGGTCGAGACATTCCCTGGAACTCTAATTTTCTTCTAGGTAAAATCAAGGAGCTGTTCGGCAAGGACACCATCAACAGCGGGACGGTGCTCGTGCTGGTCAATGCGGTCTACTTCAAGGCCAAATGGGCAAAATACTTCGAAGTTGGAAGCACGGTGGAGGCACCGTTCTGTCTGAGTGAGGTACTATCTTGGAGCATGTGGTTTTCTGAATATTCCACTAAGAATGGTTTGCAGTGTGTGTGCTCAGATCTCACCCGTGACCTCGGGGTTACAGCTCGCATTGAGAAGAAGGACACCTTTGCTATAAACAGAAATCGGTATTTGAAGTTGATTGAGCATTTTTGTGCCAGGCACTGCACTGAGCATTTTCCACTCGTCATTTCACTTGTTCCCTAAAGTCGCCTTGCAACAGTGGGTGTTACTATTATTATTCTCACTTAGGAGCTGAGGGGAAAAAATGCCAAGGTTGCTATGTAGTCAGGTCCATGCGTTAGTACCCACCTCTGTGTTTGCCAGAGAAACCCGTGTTCCAAGCCACCAGGCTGCTGCACAGGAGACGAGGGAAGAGTCAGACCCCAGCCCCCCAGCCCAACACCTGTTAGCTGTGTCCTCTGCAGGGCTGCACGTTCTCATCTGTGGAATGCCCATCGCCCCGCATACCACGAGGTTACCATGAGGTTTACGCTACCTGGGGCTGCGCCCTGTCCTCTGATGGAAGTCTATGCAACAGGTGTTTGTAGTTACTATGGAGATGGTGGTCACCTAACCGAGGCTCCCACTGGCCCTCGGTGGAGTCATTCAGTCCAGCGGGGTCAGGAGGTCACGAGGCTGGGCTGGCTGAGACAGAAGACCGAGAGCGCCGCAGGGCCTGTTTCTGCCAGCTGAGCTGTGGGCAGGTGCCTGGTAGGCAGTCTACCAATACCTGGTCTTGGCAGTTGAATAACCCATTACAACCACGGGAGAGAAAGTGTTGGCAAAGTAAGGGCCAGTGGGCAGATGACTCTCAGGTTGGGTCACTGGTGTGGCTCAGAACTTCTGGTAGACCCCACTCATCTAACGAACCCCTATTTTCGGGGAAGATGGGAACCGTGTGAGTCTGCGCTCATCATGACAGTCCTGTGACTTTCTCCCTCGCTCACCACAGAATGAAACGAAGACTGTGAAGATGATGAATCAGAAGGGTGTGTTCAGAATGGGCTTCGTCGAGGAGGCGAAGGTGCAGATCCTTGAAATGCGGTACATCAAAGACAAGCTCAGCATGTTCGTCCTTCTGCCGTCACCCTCGGCAGACAACCTGCGGGGCCTGCAGGAGGTAAAGCTGCACCCCGGCTCTGCAAAATGTTTCCCTGGAGCCCTTGGGCGCAGCGCTCGCTCCCGTCCCTCCCCCGGGAAAGGGTGGCGCCTGAGCTGGCAGAGGCACGCACAGATAGACAAGAGTCTCATTTGTTCAGAAAAGAACGAACGTCGAACACGTGGGCTCGGGCTTTCTTCTCTCATCCCATTGCTCTCTGTAACCAGATCTCCCCAGACCAGCGGATCTGGATGGGGAGTCGCTTGAGAATTGCTGCAGATGACATGGCTTTTCCTCCTCCCTGACTGTCCTGACTGCTGGCCTCTCACTCAGACCATTTGGCTGCAGCTCAAAGACTCTTGAGCTGCATCCTGCTCTGGGTGCCTGGGGATGCGGGTCCTGGGAGAGATTTCTCGTGAAGTGAGAATTCATAGAGGCTGGGGAAGCTCAGCTGCGTGTCCTGTGGGCTACAGAGAGCAGACAGAGGGAGGGAGAAAGTGAGAGAGAAACACCGGGTGGTGATTACAATGACAACCAGTATTCAAAACTTAGTATGTGCCTGCGCTATGTTAAGTACTTTAAATCCATTCTTGTGTTTAATCCCTGAAGAGCTCAATGGCATTATCTCTGTTATAGAAAAGATTGAAATTCCAATGTCAAGGCCTGGTCATGCTCACCCAACTCAGTCAACTGAGCTTTGCTCGGCTTCGGACACTAGTCTTGTCAGACCCCAAAGAACACCGCACCTCAAATTGTCCCGCAACGTCTAAAGAGTAAAGAGATTTGCTTGGAGCAGTTTTAAATGAAATCGGAGTGTTTCGAGGTGTAGGAAGAGCACTTGGAGGGTGTTACGAACTGTTGAAGTAGACTGGACACTGAGAAGTTACTGGGGCATCCTTTGCAGGTTCACAATCTGACCCTAAATATTATTTTCCTCATCCTGCAGCTTGAAAGGAACATCACCTATGAAAAAATAGTGGCCTGGAGCAGTTCTGAAAATATGCCAGAACAAAGGGTCGCCGTCTCCTTTCCCCAGTTCACCCTGGAAGACAGTTACGATCTCAATTCTATTCTGCAAGACATGGGCGTCACGGACGTCTTCGATGAAAAGAAGGCTGATCTGACCGGGATCTCTCCAAGTCCCAGCTTGTACCTGTCCCGAGTTATCCACAAAACCTTCGTGGAGGTGGATGAAGACGGCACCCAGGCTGCTGGCGCCAGTGGGGCCGTTGGCAGCGTGATGTCTGCTCCATCCTGGGAGACCTTTAACGCCAACCACCCTTTTCTCTTTTTCATCAGACACAACAGAAACCACACCATCCTCTTCTATGGCAGGGTCTGCTCTCCTTGAAAGGAGCACATGTCCAGCACCTGGAGCCGGAAGGAAATGACGGCACAGTCTTCCCCTGGCACAACGTGGCCTCTGTGCTTCTGGTGGAGTTTCATCACGGTGCCCGGCTCCCTGCTTGGGCCTGGGCCTGGGCCTGTCCTGCTCTGTTTTTTCTTTTTCTTTTTCTTTTTTGTGAATCCTCACCTGCGGATATTTTCCCGTTGATTTTTAAAGAGAGTGGAAGGGACGAAGAGAGCGAGAAAAATATCGATGTGGGAGAGACACATCGATTGGTTGCCTCTTGAACGACCCCACCTGGGGCCAGGGATTGAACCTGCAACCCAGGTTCGTGCCCTTGACTGAATCGAACCCGAGACCTTTAGGTCCTCAGGCTGATGCTCTGACCACGGAGCCCAACCGGCCATGGCTCCTGCGCTTTTTCTCTGCCTGCAGTTGACGTTCATCGAAGTCCATCCGTAGTGAAGGACCCCTGCTCCCTCCCTCCCTCTCACCACCCTCCGCTTTCAAGCATATAAAAAAATCACCCTCTGGCCCTGGCCGGTTTGGCTCAGTGGTTAGAGTGTCCACCTGTGGTCCAGAGAGACCCGGGTTCGGTTCCCGCTAAGGGCACGTACCTCGGCTGCAGTTTGTCTCCGGCCCTGGTCGGTTGTGCGGGTGGCAGCCACTCGATGTGTCCCTTTCACATCGATGTTTCTCTCTCTCTCTCTCTTCCTCTCTCTCCCTCCCGCTCTATCTGAACAAAAAATGGAAAAATGTCCTCGAGTGAGGATAAAAAAAAAATAAAATAAAAAAAAAAGAAAATCACCCTCTGTGACCTGAAGGTCCACATCGTAGGGAACGATGCTGACTTTAAGCTGTTGCCTCCTCGTGAGGAACTCTGCAAGCTCCAACCATTAGCCGCTTCTAGGAGACGGCAAACTCCGAAACCGCTGTCACCTGGGTGGCGAGAGAACCTGTTTAACTGGAATGTATTTTGGAAACTCAGCTGTTTCTGTGGCAGTTAAAATTGCCGCGGGCCACTGAGCAAGATGGGCCTTCCTCGTCTCTCTCCTACTGCCCAACGATGTCCAGCCAGGGGCTTCCCGCGTGGGGGGAGCAGGGCTTGGGGGTGGAGTTCAGCCAGAGCTCAAAGATGTAACCCTGCACCAACCATCATTTTGCACAGAGCATTTGTCCTGTGAATTTGACATTGACCCAGGAGGGCGGCAAGTGCATCGAAAAGGGATCTGCCCCAGTTTTCCTTGCCGAGTCCTCTGGGCCGTCATTATGAAGGCCTGTTCCCGTCTCTTCGCCATCCCTTCCCTTACTCCAAATCCCTAGCTGGTAGGTGGCGGAGGGGAGCGTTTCTTCCAGTGGAGAGCTGGCTCCCCAAACCCGTCTCCACACTCCGCTCACCTGAAACCATTTGTCCTCCCAGAGGCCTGGCCTGGGCACGGTGCACGCAGCTCCCTTGCCCTGCTAGTCCTTCTCCCATAATGCACACCCCGCGGGTCAAGTGTATCTCAGGATCAGCTACTTAGTGTCCCCTGTGGTTCCTTCGGGGGCTGATCATCTGGAGGGCTGACTGCACACTGAGCTGGACACTGAGCTGGACACTGAGCTGGATGATCGCCACCTACACCTGGGCGTCGTCCAGCCCTGTTTACGTTCTAGTATGTTCCTTGATGAACACATCTTCTCATTTGTATTGCGATTTCTCAAAATTGTAATCCCAGGGGGAAAATGTATATCTAGTTACAAAAACGAGAGTGAGATCCTTAAATCTTTCCGTAAATCAGCAGACGCACTGTTTACGCATCTTTGATTGATTAAAATGTTTCTTCTTCATGAATAAAAGCACTTTTGTCATTGAGATACGTACAATGTGTTGCCAACTTTCCAGTGATCTAAATCTAACTTAACAGTTTTTCATCCAAAAGTCCCGAAATACACACTCTTTAAAATCCCAACGTTACATCATAATCACACACAGGGAGGCAGACGAAACAGATGAAAACTCACAACAGTTCTAAAACCTAAGAGATCAGAAGGTGGAAGAACTCTCTGCGGACTAGAAGTTAATGGGGCTGGACGGAAAGGCCTGGTCAGGGGGGTGTCCGGGTCATGCCGCTGGGGCAGCACTCTGCCCTGTGTTCTTGCCATGGCTGCCTCCCCGCGGTCAGACCCCTGGTCGCTGCCCATGTGAATTCTGGGCGTCCGCCTCTGCTCTGCGCTTGCGCTGGTCTCCAGCCTCTGCCTCTCTTGGCAGTTGGGGCTCTTGCTGCAGTCCCCCGAAGACTGGGGGGGCTCCCCAAGTGTGACTCAGGAAAGCGAGGACAGGCAGGGGCACCTTCCCCCTGGGCACCTCAGTCAGCAAGTCGAGTATGTTTTGTGGGACCAGGACCGAAAGGGCCCAGGCAGCATCGTTGGGGTCTGTGCGTTCCGCCCGCTGTCTGTCTGCAGTGTCAGGGTCAGGCCATGACGGAGGACCGCGTTCCAGCAGGGCTGCCCCGGGGAGCCGAGGGCACCGTGGGGATCATGCTCAGAGGAGGACTCCTGACTCTTCGGTCTCTTCACACCAGCAAGACTACCCTCCAGTGAAGCAGGCGGAGGCAGGAGAACATACAAATCAGTAGGCTGCCGTAATTGCTAGACAGCCAACCAGAAGTCCGGCGATGTGGCTCAGTGGTTGAGTGTCCACCCATGCACCAAGAGGTCGCCGGTTCAATTCCCGGTCAGGGTACATGCCCAGGTTGTGGGCCCGATCCCCAGTGGGGGGCATGCAGGAGGCGGCCAATTGATGTTCTCTCTCATCGATGTTTCTATCTCTCTCTCCCTCTCACTTCCTCTCTCTCTCAAATCAATAAAGGAAAAAAAAAAAAAAAACCCAACCAGAGCACGCCACTCTGGGGCGCGAACTTTCCATGTCTGGTTCAGAGTTCCCTCCATCCAGCGATGTTGCAGGACAAGCGAGGCATGAACATTTCACAACCATTGGTTCATGTATGTGGACCAGCCGGCAGGTGCTCTGTCATTCGCAGGCTCGGGACGTCCTGTTTCAGCCCCAGTCCTCCTGATTTCGAACGTCATCTAACGCGTAGCTCCCCTTGAACTCCTCCCCAGCTGTCCCTGGACTGGGACAGGCCAGAACACGCATTGCTTCATCCCTGACGCTACTTCTTTTGCACGTGTGGTCCTGTTTTACCACCATGTCCCTGACTGTGGCAGAGGTCCTGTAACTGGGGCGACAGGACAAGGAAGGTGTGCGGTCATCACAACTGGATGCCAACTCCATCCACGTTGCTCGCTGTCTTATTCTTTTCTCTTACTCAATAAAAATAGCAGAAAACTCATCTCACCTAGGCTCACCTTTCACCAACGTATTCTCTATACCTAATATTTAATTTAAATATTCTTGTATTCTAATACACTGTTTCCCTTCTAAATAATGTGTTTCACAATATGCACCAAACAGTGTTTTAGGTGCAGGTGGGGGAGAAGGAGTTAAGAAGCAATCAAATCAACGCACAACAGTGGGGCTGACAGAGACCTGCATGCCCTTTGTTGACACACATAGGTTTTGAGCACATCGATCCGTAGCCAAGGTCAAATACATGAGCACAAACTAGAGCGTTATGAAAAAAAATAGTGTCAACTAAGAAAGGGATACATCATGGTTTAGACAAGAAATGAGATTTCAGGAAAAGATTTATGGCAAGAATTAGATGATCAATAGGATTTAAAATGCAGCAGCAGAATGTAAATAAATTTTAGAGTCAATAAAGCAACAAAACTGATGTGCCGGAAAATGTAGTTAGTGATTACCAGGGGGTATCTGAGTGTTTCTCTTCGAATGCATAGGGAATAACAGAAGGGTACTTGGTAGATGCAAACAGAGAACAGAAAGTAAACCCAAAAATTAATGGTGTTTCCGAGAAAGGAAGCAGATGAATTGGCATGAAATCTACAATCAAAGATAGATGATTTAAAAAATGTTCCTAACTTGGATAGTCACCTGATTACACTGATTCCAAGAAAAATAAGCAAAAATAAACATCCTAAGACCGTTTAAAAGTAAAAGGTTGAGAAAATAATTCCATGAACAACCAAGAAAATCTACTTAAAAGGATAAACGATCAGATGGGCCTCAGATATTTGTGTTAAATTTCTGAAGAAAATAAAACCATGTACAAGTTTGAGGCGAAAATACGTAATTAAAGAATTTCATGCTGAGTCAAGTTGCAAATGCAACAGGAAGTCCTTCTCTGCTATAGTTTTGCATTTGTGAGTGTAATATGTTTAATCCCCAGCACCTAGCTGACCCGTCCCGCAGGTCGAGCAACGAGGACTCCAGAGGGGGAGTGAGGATGAGGAGGGACAAGAGACACGAGAAATGGAGACAAGACAGGATTCTGATCAAGTCTCGTTTATTCAGGGGGAGTTCACATAATATATAGGGGAAAAACAGGTGAAACAGTTAATGAGTATCCCACCTGAAGCCAATTCCAGTAAATACCCCAGGTGGAACAAATGATAAGCAAAGAATGGAGTAAACAATTATCTAGAGGAATGCAGACACTGTATGCAGAGAGACCCCGCCCTGGGGCCGGAGACAGCAGAGCAGACTTTAACAAGATGGATACCATGCAAAAGTCTCCCACACCTAGCACCATGCTATAAACATCATAGGAACTGAAATTAAATTATTGTTACGTTGAGCAGAATCCAATGCAGTCAAAGACTTCAAAAAGTTAGTAAAGAAGTTCCGTCAGTTGCCCGGCTGGTGTGGCTCACCCACCAAGAGGTCACTGGTTCAATTCCTGATCAGGGCACATGCCCAGGTTGTGGGCCAAATCTCCAGTGGGGTGCATGCAGGAGGGGGTCAATCGATGTTCTCTCTCATTGATGTTTCTATCTCTCTCTCCTTCTCCCTTCCTCTCCCTCTAAAATCAATTAAAAAAAAAAAAAAAAGTTCCATCAGTGAAAACATGATTTCAACGGACAATCAAAGGAAGAAGAAA